AGGGGGAGGCATTTCTGGCACAATTTGGGTAGATCCCTCTCAATGACCCATGAGGGGATGTCGTGTTATACATGCAAGAACAATTACAGAATCAAGGCAAAATATGTAGTGAGGAAAAACCACCATGAACCAGCAGCTGAGAAGTAAAACTTACCTAACTAGTGTTCCCAAGAGAACAAGGTAACCCAGATCTCTCCAGGGTATCTAGGCTAACTACGGGCATTCAAGAAGCCCACAGCAGAAAAGCTTTAACTTTTGAGCTTTACTCTAAGTGCCCACAGTTAGGTGGGAAGAAAACACACTCATGTGTCTCCCAACGTGCCACAGAGGCTCTCCAGGCTAGCAAAGACTCCTGAGAGAAGCCAAACAACCAAGCCACTCCTGATTGGCTGGCAGGGACATCATGGCCAACCACCTAGACCTGATGTGGCAATGCCATGTACCAAAAGCTTTGCTAAAGTCAAGGTATATTATGTCCACTGCTTTCCCTGTATCCACAGAGCCAGTCATCTCATCATAGAAGGCAATCTAATGGTAGTCTCAGAAGGCATTCTTGCAAGCAAGACCAGGTTAGCCAAAGCCTTGGCTGGGATTATCTAGTTGGGGATTGTCCTGCTTTAAGCAGGAGGTTGAACTAAAAGACCTTCTGAGGTCCCTTCCAACCCTAATTTTCTATGATGCTATTATTTTTAAGTGTGGCGGTTCTGTGCATTTTGAAGTTGTCATCCTATGTCATGCTGGGTAAGCATCTTAAGGAAGCTACCCGTGCAGAGACTTTTACTACTGACCTGGATATGTTACCCTTCATGTCCCTTGCTAGCTGCAACTCCAGTTGTGCTTTGACCTTCCTGATTTCATCCCTGTATGCCCAAGCAATACTCTTATACTCCTCCTTAGTACTACTGTCCAAGTTTTCACTTCTTATAAGCTTCCTTTTTGTACTGTAGCTCACTGAAGAGTTCCTTGATAAGCCAAGCTGGTCTTCTGCCATACTTGCTGTTATGGCATATGCCCCATATGGTAAGCGCCCCAACACATTTCTGTGCTCCTTTATGGTCCAGAAGTTGTTGCACTAAGAAGCTCAACGCTGTATTTAACAGTACACAGAGACTCATAACAGGCTGCATAACTTACACACACAGAGGTATTCCCTGCACCCTCAGGCATTAGACCGAGTGGCATAAAAAGACACCGCTCCCCTGCCGCCAGGTTTCTGGCCTTGTAGAGAGCCCAGCAGGCTGGGTACTATGGCCTTGTGTTGCAGTGAATATAGATAAGGGGTGGGGTGAATGGAAATGAAATGATCAATCAGAGTAAGCCAGTCTGAAATTTATTCCTACAGTTCCTATTGCATTTTATACCAACACCAAATGAGTTCCTCATTGGGCACAATCTTGACAGAGAAGCATGGGTGAAGCTGAACAGACTGAAATCTAGATACAGACACTTCAAAACAATATTGTACAAGATGAACATCTTGGACAGCCCCCTGTGTGAATATGGTATCTAGCAAACAGAACAGCACTTAATGGAAAGCTGCAATCTTTACAAATGTCCAGACAGGGTAGATGGAATTCATACACTGAGTGGTGATACCAGACAGTGGCTCGTAGCTTGGCAGATGGAACAAGGAGGGGCAGGGAGTTGGAAACAGGGGGTTTGCTGCCTTGGGTCACTGAGACTCTGGGGGCGGGATGGAGTGGGGTTAGCCCAGTGCTTGGGCAGAGAAGACTAGCTCTGGCGTAGACTAAGCTACTGCCCCGCAAGAGGGGATGAGCAGGGTGCCACAATACTCCAGGGGAAGTCAGTGGAATGCGATCTACTGTGAGTCGCAATGTGATGTAGTACAGATGTTCATTACGGTGATGTAACCTACAGCACTGAAGTCTGATACCACATCCATCCAGGCTTATCTTAGAGTGGGATCTGCTATTTATAGAGTGCTCTACATGCCCTCACTGTCTGTTCAGTTATAGCTGCGGAGCATTTTCAGCCTATTTACCACACAATAAGTGTAACTTCTGTACCTGGCCCTAGTGATTAACAGCAACAAGAGGGAAGAGACAGAAAAATCTTACAGCTTACCAGACTTCTAGCAATTTTGTGTTTGTAAAACATGTTTATTTTATAAATTCTGCTACTGAAACAGCATGTCAAAAATAGGAAGGCCATGGGTCTGATCTGTATTTAACACAGATTTACAGAGCTATATAAAGCTCAAATGTAATTTCAATTCATCTTAGAGCCCTATTATACTGCCTGAATAGATAAATGGATTTTACTCTAAATGATCAGTATTAATGGTAATGACGTCCCATGGCTGGCCAGATGTAACAAGGGATGTTCAATTGAACAATTGATGTTCATTTCTGCCAGGGGAAATTTATCAGTAATTTCCCCAATAGAAATCCTTCTAGGAGAGGGAGCACTACAGATGTTCAGTCTATAGCCACCCCCTCTCCCCTGCTCTCCATGCCTTCCCCAAGACCAAGTTGATCTACTCCCTGAACTTGCCTCAGACTGGGCTCTGGGAAACAGGGTCAGAGAACAACCTCCACTCCAGTCCCAGAGCAGAGGGAGCACTGGGGGAAAGACCCCAGCCCCTACCCCAAATAGAGCAATATCCAGCTTGCTAAAGAAGCAGGGAGCAAAGATGGCTGCTCCTCTCCCCTCCCAGGCTGAAGAAGGGAGCTGGGCACTTTCCTGGCTTGGGGAAGGGACCAGGGGCTGTGCTTTGCAGCTCCCTTCCCCACCTAGACCAAGAGGGTAGAGGAGCAGTGGGGCAAAGCCTCCCCACCCAGAGCAGCTGCTTCTCTGCTCTGCTCCTGGACTCAGGGAGTGGAGTGGAGTGGAGGTAGAAGCAGGGAAATCCCCATCCCCTTCTCACTCCTGAGACTCAGTTATGAGAAATAGGTGGGGGGCTCACAGTGCTGCTCCCTGCACTCTGCTTGTGTTCCAGGGCCTGGGACTCTTGTGTGAGCACTGTGCAGGGGCTTTGTTCTGCCACGCTCAGGGACAGCCTCCCTAAGCCCAGTTCCCCACTAGCTGACTTCCCTTTGCCTCGCCACTGCTCAGTGAAGTGGAAGGGGCAGCGATTTAAAAGACTTACCCCAGCCCAGTTCCCCCTGGCTGATTTCTCCTACCCGCCACCTTCCCCCTTCCCTCCCCCTGAGCTGTTCCCATATAGGCAAAAGTTCCAAAACCTTAGTTACACTGAAATAACATGAATATTCTCTTTAGATAGTGATCTCCCTCAGACGGATTTCACAAAAAACTGATGGGAGACTTTGACAATGACAGGTTTCTAATTGAATCTTAAATAATACCAGACGCATGTCACTTCTGTTGTGATAAAAGTCTGGATCATCACTGCATTGCCTATGTTATGTGACTTTTTGTATTAAAAGCATGTTTAATTCTGGTATTCCTCTCTCTTTGCAATAATGTTCAATGAAGAATGTTCACTGAAGGGATTTTTTTTCTCCCCTGAAGACTAAGTACTACTCACATGACTATTTTCATGGCAAGTCCTTTTCTCAGTCCTATTACCAACCTTCCCTGTTTTTTAGAAATATTTTTGTTTTAAATTTGTTAATTAATTGGTGCCCAGCTGGACTCTACTTGGGAACTAGGTGCTAATTCTAGCTCAGATTGGCTATTTAATATATTTAGCTATATCCTATTCCATTTATTTTGAAATGTTCTTGCACTGTCTATTTTAAGCAATTCCCATTGTTATGGCATCTCTACTTAAATACCACCTATATAACAAAGCTTGAGCATTTTCTTCCAGAATGGTTTCATAATCCCCATAACCCATAGTTATTTATTTCCCATCATTACTGGGCTGTCCTTTTCATTTCAATTACCCAGGGTTGCTCAGTGTTAGTCTACCTCCTGCTCAGGCATTCATCCCTTTCTAACACTGTCATATATGCATAGAAAGTTAGGGATGGAAGGGACCTCCTGTTCCAGTGTTTTACTACCCTCTTAGTGATAAAATTCTTCCTAATATCTAACCTAAACTTCCCTTGCTGCAACTTGAGACCATTGCTCCTTGTTCCATCACCTGTCACCATCGAGAACAGTCTAGTTCCATCCTCTTTCAAACCCTCCTTCAGGTAGCTGAAGCCTGCTGTTAAATCCCCTCTGTCTTCTCTTCTCAAACTAAATAAGCCCAGTTCCCTCAGCTTCTCCTCAGAAGTCATGTCCCCCAGTCCCCTCATCATTTTTGTTGCTCTCTGCTGGACTCTCTCCAATTTGTCCACATCCTTTCTATAGTGGGACCCAAAACTGAACACAGTACTCCAGATGTGGCCTCACCAGCACTGAATAGAGGGGAATCATCACATCCCTTGCCATGCTTGCAACACTCCTACCAAAGTAGGCCAGTATGTCATTAGCCTTCTCGCCAACAATATTCTGCTTATTGTCCACTGTAAGCCCCAGGTCCTTTTCTGCAGAGTATCAGTGGAAACCGTGTATACAAATCTAAGGGCACAATTACCCCTCTCTGTTTCAGTTTGATTACATATCCAACTTAAACTATGCCAGGATTAACGACTGTGACATGGTAGACATATGTTGAGATAAGAATATGCCAATATGAGTTAACTTGGTCTAAAAAAATTCTACCCAAGCATATAGAAGTAATATACCTACAACATTTTGATAAATAAAGCTGTATCCTGGTGTACTACTTTGGTGTCAAAATGCTTGAAGATTTCAATGAACATTTTTAACTCACAATTACTACAGAGAAGAGCTAAAACCAGGAGCTCTAGGAAAATAGGGAGATGTTTAAATATATTTATACAAGTCTATCATGTACTGATGTGTGTTTATTGTTCAGAGTTCTCCACAATGTATATTATATTGCAACATTGCAATATATGACATAAAATTATATGATGCATTTTATTTGCACAATATCATAATAAACCCAAGCTCCCAAGAAAGATTCTTTAACCTCTCTAACAAGTTAAATAGCTTTATGTTACCTGATAATCAGTTGGTCCAGTATAAAAAGCTTCTTCCCTTTCAAGAAGAAGTAAAGGTCGAGGAGCTGAAGATCCAAATGCTCCTTTCTTTGTACTCTCCAAGAAAGCTTTTTTAAAACTCTCTCTCTCTATGCTATAGTTGAAAATATTATAGAATGCAGGACCTGAAAAAAATCACAGTAGTTTTTATACAACTGCAACTTTTTATCTTGTATAGTAATCAGAAATATACTAACTTTTAATAGTACTTAAATTTGTTATACTAGCATACTATAATAAAATTGTCTTAGCTAATGAGCACACAAAGTTGCTGCACATTTACTGAGCAGAGTTCTCTGCCAGTTACATATATCTGTGGACAACAGTTGGCTAAGGAATTCTGGTTTCCATGATGACTATAGTGATCACTCACTTGTAAGGATTTTTGGAAACAAGATAGAGCCTGCAGCAGTTACAGCAGAAGTGCACACAGGCCTGTCTACATCAGTAAATTTATCTCCGAGTTTCCTAGCAATATGACGCATAACTCTCTACCTTCTAACGTGCTAACAGAAAGTACCTACAAGTCTTACGGCTTAAAAGTGCTTTGAGTCATATATTCCCATGAACAGAACACAGACCCAAACCACCAACCCTTGGGTTATATACAAACAAACTTGAAAAATATATTTTGGTGATTCACAAAACCTGCTAAAATCACAATCAGTTTTAAAACATATTTTAAAGTGGTCTTTTCTGGAGTACTGTGCCCAATTTTGGGCTCCCCACTACAGAAAGGATGTGGACAAATTGGAGAGTCCAGTGGACGGTAACAAAAATGGTTAGGGAGCTGGGGCGCACGACTTCTGAGAAGAGGTTGAGGGAACTGGGCTTATTTAATCTAAAGAAGAGAAGTGGGGATTTAATAGCAGCCTTCAACTACCTGAAAAGTGGTTCAAAGAGGATGGAATTAGACTGCTCTCAGTGGTGGCAAATGACAGAACAAGGAACAATGGTCTCAAACTGAAGCAAGGGAAGTTTAGGTTAGATATTAAGCAGAACTTTCTGACTAGGTGGGTGATAAAGAACTGGAACAGATTATTCAGACAGGTTGTGGAATCTCCATCCTTGGAGGTTTTTAAGATATTCAAAGCCTTGGCTGGGATGATACAGCTGGGGATCATCCTGCCTCAAGCAGGGGGTTGGACTAGATGACCTCCTGAGGTTTCACCCACCCCTAATTTTCTATGATTCAATGACATCACTACATGAATCATATGCAAGCATACCATCACCCTCCAAAGATAAGAAGCATAGTTTGAATTCCTTAGCCATAAGACACCTACATTAGGTCCTAGGACTAATTGCTCAGGTACCTAGGTTGAGGACTAATTACTAACCTCTTTTTTGATAAGGGGAAATTTCCTCCCAGAAGTAATGCACAGAACATTTTCGCAGGACTCAGAAGAGAGGAGGTTTGACCCATTCTCTTAAATATGTCAGAGAGCTCATCACTACAGCATACAAACATTTTGCAAGTCTCTCTCTCATGAAATTAAAAATCAGCAGGTTTCCCTTAATGAATACATTTTCAACTATAACTAAAAAGCATAAAATGTTCTAAAGATAATTTCTGCTGAAGTATAACTGATATTAAAGGAATCATCATGTGAAGTCCCAGAGAGTTTAAGATGTCTTGTAAAAGGGATACAAAGAAAAATGAAGCAATCTAGTAAAAAATTGCTAAAAGAGGTGATTTTAGACTCTTTTTCTCTTTTCAATTTATGTTTCATTAAACTATGGTGAAACATTCAAACAGAGATGTTATACTCTACATTTTGTGTTTTGCCATTTCAGTGAGATTTTCTAGACTAAAAGTTTAAAGTTACTGCTAAAAACTGACTTCTGTTGTACAGCCTTGTTACTGCTGTACCATAAGGTAAGTATTATTATTTAGTTATCTAAAGCAACTGGAATAACACGCACAGTGTTATTATGTATCTATGTGTGTACCTATATTTGCTATATGATGATAATCAGCGTAAATATCTTCTCTGCTGCACTGCACTGAATGCACGTTCAAACAGCTATGTACGAGGGAATCTCTGTACATCTTTCTAAAGCTGAAATACTAAGATTTTTTAAAGCCTCCATAACCTCAGCATTTCCTAATACAAACAACCAAACATATAAAGACTACCTTTGCCATATCCGTTGGTTTTTAAATATGCTCTGTATAGATCCATTTCACTTTAGCCGTGTGAATTCAAGTCAGAACATTTCTAGCAACCGTAACCATAATGGCAGCACATACTCCCTGAACCTCCTTGTGCCTTCAGCCATGACTACAAATGTGTGGAATTGCCTGAACACCTGGCAGACCCTTCACATAGGGATGAAGCTGATAGACTCTGCAGCTAGGGCAAAGGAAAATGGGTGTGTGCAAAATCCATCTCAAAGAGCAACGTTACAGTTCAGGTAACTATTTTTTTCTTTTCCTTTTTTGTGCATATATGTATCTGTAACAGGGCCCTTAACACATTACTAGGGAGACTGGGTGTTTTGGGGTCTGCTCTTACTGCTGCCTTTCCCTCCTCCCTCCCTTCTCCCCCTCCCCTTGCTACATTCATTCTCCATTCTCACCCCGGCTGGTGCAGCCGTGGCCCTTCCTATCTGTTTCCTTAGGTCAGCCATCCCCCCCCCAATCTCTCTTCCTCTACATACACACACACCTACACTTAACCTTTATTACGTGGTCTGAGTTGGTGGGCTTCCAGGTGCTGCCAAAGCTTAGACACCAGCTGATGATGTGAAACAAGATGGCCACTGAATCCAGATGCCAACAGAGCCTGACTACCCAGAAAGTGCAAGTGAAGGGTTACGTGACCCAGAGCCTGCTACATAAACCCATGCCTTGGACTAGAGTGGGGCAGTCTGGCTGAAGGAGCTACTGGGGACAGAACCTTCCCTGGGAGGCACAAGACCAGGAGCACTGATTGCTGCAAGGGGGACTTGAAAAGAAGCCTGAGTAAAGAGAGTCTGCAGACCTGCATAGGAAGGAAGCTAAGTCCCCGGTTTCTGTTTTGTTTTCTTTCTACTTGGAGCTTGCCACACAGGAGTGAGCTGAACCTCTGCAGGACATAGCTATGCCTGGGCATGGGCATTGGCATTTTGGGGCTCTTCATCTTGTTTCCCAGAGGACCAGTTGGTGGCTGAAGAAGAGGTGGAAGCTACTAAAAGGGGTGACTGGGGATGCCCTGAACTTGAAACTCAGCCAAGTGTGCATAAGAACTGGTATGATCTGGGACCACTAGTGTACAACATGGTAAACATCATGAGTTTTGGCACCTGAGGTCATGAAGCATGACCCAAAGCTGAGCCAGAAACCAGTGGCCCTGAACAGTGGGCCCTGAGCTATAAGGCTCAACTAAAGTAAAAGTGAGATGCAGCTGGGGAGCTGCATCTCAACAGGGCCTGCTTCTTTAAAGTGTTTTTTACCTTCTGGATAGCCTCCCCTACTGAGTTTACATCATGAGATGGCAGGAAAAAATACTAAAAGGGAAGACAGAACAGAGGGTACTGACACTGGGAAGCCGCTAAACACAGGAACCCCATAGTGACATCCATGGGGTGCCTACATTTTTCTACTGCCAAAAGCCCTGAAGCCACTGTAAGGTATACACTGATGACTATGCTGCTCCTTCGCAAATATCTAGAATAGCAGTTTTCCCCAGAAATGCTACAGATGTAGCCTGGACCCAGGTAGACTGAGGCTTTTTATACAGAATCAGTACACTGTCTACTGTATAGCAACAATAATGCATGAAGCTATCCAGCTAGATATTATTTACATCAGTACTGACCAAAAGGGATCTTGGTGTTCTTTAATTTTAAAAAATCTTCAATTTTCAGTTTTTAAAAAGTAACCTAAAATCTATATTTTTCTGTGATTAAAATGCAACACCACTTATACATATACATACATATACATATACACACACACACACACCCCCCTATATATACAGTTTTGTTTCATTTTAATCACAGAAAAAATGTGGATTTTGGGTTACTTTTTTTAAACTGAAAATTGGAGATTTTTTTAAAATCAGAAAAAAAACAGGATTCCTCCTGACCAACAAGCCACAGACAAATAGAAAAGTCAGTTCTTCTTAAGTAAAAAGAGAATATTTAATGTACACCCAGCATGTACAGCCTCTATTCATCCTTTTCAGGCAGGGGGTTTTGGGAAGATGACTAGGTGATATTTATTTTTTAAATCAGATTATCTACCATTGCCAGAAGATAGAGGTAAGCCCTTAAATGCAACCATCGCTTTGTAGAACATGGTGCCTGGGGCTCCTGCCATTAAAGTAACTGATCTTATAGCTACTGAAAAACAGTCTTTGATGAAAGAGATGGGAGAGGACAGGTGGCCCCAGGCCCAGTGAGACACCCCACAAGTGCTGCAAGCACTGATTTTTAATTCCAGGAAAGGACCAAATTCCTAACTGGCAGATATACTGCCATTAATCTTTTCAAAATTGCTCACCATTAGATGAACAAAGACTGAAAGATTTTTGGGTTGGTGGGTGAATTGCTGGTATAACAGCTAGATGCACCTTTGACTTAAAGTCCTGCCCCCTTAAGTGCAGTAAATTATCAAGAATGGCCAAGATATTTCGGTATGTGATTTCTAGTGGCTTGTTACTAAAAGCCCAAATCAAAAAACTTTTCCATTTCACTATGTATGGTAGGGTGGCACTTTTGTGTCTCTCTATCGTTAATTAAAAATACTCAGCACGTCTTAAAACTGACATGGGTAGCTAGATCTTATTCTTTAAAAAAAAGAGATTCTTAAAGCATTTGTCATCAGTAGACAGTTTGACCTGCAGAAGTTCTGTGGCATTCTAATTATAACCTTGTAGACCTATCTCCTCCAGTGTCCTACAGCAGGACTGCCCAACTTCTGGGCAGCCTGGGGTTGCATGCTGTCAGGGTCACAAGCCCTAAAGCCACAAGCCATGTAGGTCACATGCTGTTGGAGGCCTTCTGGACCCCCTCCCTACTATGCAGGCAACACAGGACTCCAACCACCACATGGCCCCTCTCTCACTGCACTACCCTGCCTTAGAGACCCCCAGCTGCAGCAGCAGCAGCAAGAGCAATGCGGGGGATTGGAAACTGGGCAGGAACTTTTGGGCTACCAGTTCAACAACCCTGCCCTACAGTACAACAACAGAGGGAATCCATCACCAAAATATATAGCTTTACCTGGTTGTCATAGGGTATGACCTTTCCAGACAGAAAGGAATGAAAGAAACTTTAGAAGCAATTGCTATTTTGCTATAAATATGTAGTATGCATAAGTCTAAAAAGAGACCTAGTCTCCATTAAGCAAGTGAATGGGCTGCTCTTCTGCTACTAAACAAATAGAGAGCTGTCTTTGCAGAGAGACCTTATTTAACAATAGCACAAATAAAACAATATATATACATTATAGTCTACAGATCCAATTCAAGCTGTGTTTATGTTAGTCAAGAATTCTACAAGTTCACTAAACCCAACAGGTGTTCATAACATTGATCATGCACCAACATTTGTACAATCCATATAAAATTACCCAGAAACACTAAACTAACACAACTTTGAAAGGCAGGCTACATTTGTTTCCCTCTGGCCTCCATCCAGACTCCTGTGTAAATAAATGTGTGTATATTTTGTCCTAATTCTTACTGTATTTTAATATTACATTTTAAGATTAATAGATAACTTCTTAGAATATCAATCTAGTTAATATTGGGGTTATGTAAATGGAATACCAGCAATATTTGGATTAATTGCAAACCTGGTGTTTTTTCTAGCCTGGAGTCTTGAGTGAATCGAACAGCAGTTTGACCAAATGGGATCTTTTTCATTCCTGATATTTTCTTCAAGGATTCAAGAGCTGAGCGTGGTTCATTGTATGTGCCAGGAGCTGGTGTGATTGATTTCACAGGTACAAATCTCTAGTGAAGCAGAGGAAGAAATATGCCAGTGACAGCCTGCAGCTCATTTAGAAACTATCTGGGCAGAAAGTGCCCACATTAGTATAGCACCATCAGGGAATTATGAAGTGAAGTTAATTTAGATGTCATAGTAACTAATATCTTGAATAATATCTGAATGTATAGAGCCTGATTTTTCAAAGATGGGTATATGCAATTAAAAGCACAAACACTGCATGCGTGTCTAGAACGACTTTTTGTGCACACACAGGCAGTTATATATCTTACAAGGTGCACAGGCACATGCAAGGGTATAATAGATAGCAACTGGTTGCACATGGCCATGTTTGGGAATGAGGCCACTCGTATACAGCTTTTATTATTATAATCTATACAGCAAATGACTTAAACACATCACTGACTTGAAATATTACAGAAAGCTAAATAAAGTACATATACGAACATAGCCACATCCACTGCCAGTCAGCACTACACCACAAAACCACACAAAAGGGGGAAATATTTTAGAAAAGTACACTGCAATAGTCTCATAATTCCTTTGTAAAAGGACATACTTTCTGCCAATAAGAAATGGATAGAAGACTCCTTTCAGGTCTTACCCTGAATTTCCTGTATAAGGGTCTATGTGGTACCCAGTTTACTTATCTTTAAAAGATTATATCAAAAATTACATCTGAACCATACAATTATCCTCGTACCCTAAAGTATGAAGTAGCTTACAAGCAACTTGAAATCATACAAATAGAGACAGACATAACATTTTAAATAAGTTAAAAAAAGTCTTCAAAACATTCCCAAAGGCTTACGTACAGACATATTCTAATTTTGGTTATTGTAAAACACATGACTAAAATCCTAATGAACAACTATTCAGCCATCGATTCCTATGTTAGGGTAGCTTGTCGGATTTATGCTTAAGAGTGTACCTGCCTGAGAGGTGAATTATAGTATTATTTACATTTTTCTTTTATACTTACCCTTATTTTACCATTGCTTAAGTTTTGAACTTTTCATGTTGCTGATGTCTGCAATATAGCTGGCCTTGCCTCTTGCAAATAGCTTATGGCCTTGAGTTTTGCGCTCATGATGTTTCTTTCCTTTTCTATCACTGTGAGAAGTTTTTCTAACATTACATAGTAATAGTCTTGTTACTAGCTCAAATTAACTGAATTTAGCACTAACGGGCTGAATCAGAGGGATGAAATGATTGGATATGTTAATGAAAGGTGATAAGAGGAGACCAATGGATGATACACAAAGTAAGACACTGGAAAAAGACCAAATTAAGAGGTATGCTAGTGATGGGTCTGCTGAATAAAGGAACATGCTGACAGGATAAAATATGGACAGTATGCTGAGCAATCCAAAAGCAAAAAAGTCATCAGAGGAGTGAATTTGAAGAAAAGCATAAAAGGGGACAGCAAGAAAGGTTAAGTGTATCATCATAAATGCAGCCTTTAATGCTTGTCTGGACTGTCCCTGTCAACAACGCACGCTTTACTTTCAGGAACTGGTCAGCTACCTTTTCTGTTGAGCAAAGTCACATCTGGGATTCGGTGAGATCATTGTACTATGTGTTTTTCTCTCTCTGTATATAGAAACTGCTAAGATAACATTTGTTGTATCAATAAAGTCACGCTTTAGTTGTACTGATATGTGTTTTCTTATTTCATGTCCATTAAGGGTTAATTGTGCTTTAACAATCCCTTAGCACTGTGGGCACTGGTGGACAGTGGCACTAACATGTACAGTTATGAATCTAAATCTACATTAGCATAAAAAAAGAGCTATCTTCAGAGGTTCTGACTCCCTCTCACAACTATAAAACAATGATTTTTTGACAGCCAAATTTGCTTGACCTCTGAAATAAGTCAAGTAATTCCAGTACCGAAATATAGGTTTGTGTGTTTTATTTGGATATCCCAGTTAGCACTTTTAGTTATAAGCATACTGGTAAAATAATCATCCCTAAAATATTTAAAAATCTTAGAAATATCCTGTGATAAGAAATGACTAACAAAAGTTGTAAAAAATAAATACACAGAAGTATGAAAGGTAACTCTCTACATAATTTAAAAAATGTAAGTTGCAGTTCATTTTTATGCTCTGTCAAACATGAGAACAGAGGAAAACTGTGAATAGGCTTCCTAAAGATTCTAAAAACATTGTACCCTGTAAACTTTAAAGTTATGTACATCCATCATGGATTTATGTCAAAATCATTAACAAAGCTGCAAGTTGTTTGTCTTTGAAGTTTACAGGTTACAGTAACTACAGTAAAGCCCATTCAGAAAATCTTCAATTGTCAGAAAAAGAGAAGCTATCCTGATGGCCTGATGAATAAAAAAAAGACAGTCCAACAGCCTTCTAAAGAGAACCTTCCATAAAGTGTTCCAACAAAAGTAGAAAAGAATGTATGTGAATTTCTAGGTCTGTGGGGATATCTGGCTCAGATTTTCCTGAATAAGATAAACATTTGATGGAATATATGCATTGGAAAGAAAAATTCTGGCTTGCCTACACTGCTATTGGAGAAGGAAATAAATATAAATGGAAGGTGAAGAGGCTAAATGAAAGGGATAAGAGGGAAAAAAAGAACATTTCTACTTGTTTAATGTCTATACATTATATACGATTAAAAAAATTAAGAATGTACATTTTGAATTCCCAGACTACAATTTCATCTCAGGTGTGTCACTGGAATTTCCCCATGAAAATACCATTATTATTCTGCATGGTTTGTGCAGGAAGGATATGGGGGGGGAGGGGGGGGAGAGAAGAAAAAGGTGTTTCCCTATGTCAGTGGTTTTCAACTTTTTTCATTTGCAGGCCCTTTTGCAAATTTTGAATGGAGGTGCGTACCCTTTTGAATTGTAAGTGTGGGTATTCATATACTTTAGATTGATCACAGTCATCTTTCACGGACTCCTTAAACATAGCCTACGGACCCCCGGGGGTCCGCAGACAACAGGTTGAAAACCACTGCCATACATATACATATATATGAGCATATATATATATATATATATATATATATATATATATATATACACATATGTTCAGAGATGCACTACAAACTGGAAGGTAGGCTTGTTGAAAGCCTCTGGGTAAAAGGTCAGAGGAGAGAGCTGCAGTGGAGGTGTCATGATGGGCATCTGCTACAGGCCTCCACACCCAGAGAAGGAGGTAGACAAGCCTTTTTTACACAACTGATAGAAGCTTCCAAATCACAGGACTCAGTTCTTGTGGGGGCTTTAAACTATTGGGATATATGCTGGGAGGTAAACATAGCTGTGTACTAGCAGTGAAGCAAATTTCTGGAGTATATTGGGGATAACGTTTTTATACAGATGGCAGAGAAGCCAACTAGGGAGAAAGCTCCTCTTGACTTACTGATCACAAACAGGGAGGAATTGGCTGAGAATGTGAACATGGAAGGTAACTCAGGTGATAATGATCATGAGAAAATAAGAGTTCAATACACTAAGGGGAGGATGGAAGGAGAACAGCACAATAAAGATACTAGACTTCAAAAAAACAGACTCTGACAAGCTCAGGGAACTGGTGGGCAGGATCCCCTGGGAGGCAAGTCTGAGGAGAAAAGGAATCCTGTACTTTATGGAGGCCCTCTTAAGGGCACAGGAACAAGATATCCTGATATGACAAAAGAACAGGAAGTGCAACATGAAGCTATCCTGGCTAGACAACAATCTCTTCAATGACATGAAATTTAAAAAGGAATCCTAAAACAAGTGGAAACTTGATCATCAAGTCTTATAAGGAAAGACTAAGGGATCTGGGACTGTTCAGCCTGGAGAAAAGTAGACTGAGGAGGGGACTTGCTGGCCATCTGTAAGTATGTAAGGGGTGAATATAAGGAGCTATGAGAAAAAAAGTTCATTAGGGTGCCCCAGGGGAGGACAAAGAGCAATGGCCATAAACTGTTAGAGGATGATTTCAGGTTGGATGCAAGGAAGAGTTTCTTTACAGTAAGGGTGACCAGAATGTGGAACAGACTTCTCAAGGAGGTGGTGCAGCCCCCAACCTTGAAGTCTTCAAGGAAACTGGACACACACCTTGTTGGGATCATTTGATCTCAGCAGTATTCCTGCCCAGAGCAGGGGGGTTGGACTAGATGATCTTTCAAGGTACCTTCTAGTCCTTAATTTTTATTATTTGTATGATTCTATGATCTTAATAGGGGAAAAATATGCAGGGAAAAAAGGCATGATTTAAGATGCAATTGTATGTCCCTTACAGAATACAGAAGGCAATCTAGTTATGTACGACATAGAAAGTATAACCTTTTTCACTTTAATCTAGACTAGTATTCTCTTTTTCACTTTAGTCAGCAGTTTTCAATCTGTGGTGCAGGTACCATCAGTGGTACTCAGACAACCTGTCAGTGGTATGTGTTAGCAAATTTATAATAATTACTTTATATGGCAAAAATGTCCTGGTGGTACTTAAGGTTGAACTGAAAAGTTTGCTGGTGGTACTTAAGGTTGTATCATTTTAAATTGCTGGTGCACAATCTATCAGAGTTTGGGAACCATTGGTTTAGACTAAAGTATTCCTTTTTTTTTACTTTAGTCTTCACAAGTAGGGTCAGCTACCAGATGATGACTGTAGTTGGCAACAAGGATCGGGAAAGAAACAAAATATCTAGAGTAGTAAAAGAACATGTCAGAGATTACTTAGAGAAGTTAGATGCTTTCAAGTGGCTAGGTCTGCATGGGATGCATTCTAGCATACTGAAGGAATTGGCTTGAGGTAATTTCAGAGCCATTGACTATCCTCTTTGAGAACTTGAGGAATCCAAGTGAGGTCCCAAATGACTGGAAAGGAGCAAATACAGTGCCCATATTTAAGAAAAGGAAGGAGGATATGGGGAATTACAGACTAGTTTGACCTTAATACCTGGAAAGATCGTGGAGCAGGGCCTCAAAGAATCAATTGCAGTGCACCTAGAGGAGAACAATGTGATCAGGAACAGCCAACATGGATTCACCAAGAACAAATCATGCCTGACCAACCTGATTTCCTTCTATGATATGGTGACAGGCTCTGAGAATGGAGGGAGAGCAGTTGATGAGATAAACCTTGATTTTAGCATGGCTGTTGACACTTTCTCACAACAATCTCATTAACAAGCTAAGGAAACACAGACTAAAGTACTGTAAGATGGATACATAACTGGTTGGATCATCAGAACAAGTAGTCCTGAATGGTTGGGAGGAGATATCAAGTGGGGTTCCCCAGATATCTATTCTGGGCCCAGTATTAACATCTTCATTAACGATTTGGATGATGTAACTGAGTGTACACTTAGAAAATCTGTGGATGACTGGAGTTGCAGATACTCAAGAGGGTAGGTTAGGGTCCACAAAGACCTGGATAAACTGGAGAAGTGGTCCATAATCAATCAGATGAGATTCAGCAAGGACAAGTGCAAAGTCCTGCATGTAGGATGGAATAATTGCAGGCACAAATAAAGACTAGGGGATGTTTAGCTAGACTGAAGTACTGCAGAGAAGGACCTGGGGGTTACAGATGATCATAAGCTGAATATGAGCCAACAGTGTGCTCTTGTTGCAAAAAAAACCAAAACAAAACAAAACAAAAACCCAGCATCCTGGGTTTTTACTAACAGGATGATCACTTGTAAATCAAGGGAAGTGATTCTTCCCTTGATTCAATGTGGAACAGTGTGTCCAGTTTGGGGTTCCACACTTCAAGAAGGATGTGGACAGTTTAGAAAAAGTTCATCACAAAGCAACAAAAATTATTAGAGGCCTGGGAGGCAAAACTTATGACAAAGGGTGAAATAACTAGGATTATTTATCTGGAGAAGAGAAGACAGAGGGGAGATTTGTTAACAGTCTTCAAATACCTGAAGGGCAATTACAGAGAAGATGGAGAAGGGCTTTTCTCCGTCATTGTAGAGGATATGACTAGAAGTAATGGCCTTAAGATTCAGCAGGGGAATTTAGGTTGGAGAATAGGAGGAACTTTCTAACTATGAAGGTGGTCAAACATTGGAACAGGCTAACCACAAAAATTGTCAAATCTCCATTCCTGAACATTTTCTAGAGCAGGCAGGGCAAACACTTGGATGGGATGATTTAATCAGGAATGATTCTGCCTTGAGCAAGAAGCTGGACTAGATGATTTTGTGAGGTCCCTTCCATCTCTACATTCCTATTTTTTTATATTTAGTTAATGAACTCTCAGTATAATAATCTCAAAATTCTACAATGGTTTGTAGGAAGGGTGATTGAAATAGGATGAAAGTGGTTATTTGATTAACAAAGCAGAGAGATTTGCATGCTGTACATTCCATCACCTCTGACTTTTCATTACAGGTTTAAGAATTATATTCATTACAGGTTTAAGAGTTATATTGTGATTTTGAGAGTTATATTTTAAAATGCGAGACAAAGTAGATAACGACAGGGTTCTAAATCAGCAGTCAACAACCTTTTAGGCTGTGGGCTGGAGTGACCCAATTTGGGTCGGAAGCAGATGGGTGGGCACTAGGACCCAAATGTCACTGCTTTTCCCCATGGCAGCACAGAGAGTGTACTCACAGCTGGCACTTAACGCCCTCTGTTGAATGCCACCAAAGCCCCAGGTCTGCAAGCTGGATCAAATGGCTCTGCTGGCTGGATCTGGTCCACAGGCCAGCAATTGCTGCCCTCTGTTCTAAATTATAGCCTCTTTATTTGCTAATGGTTCTGAATCATTATTCAGCAGTGAGATAAAGGCAGACATTTTTCTCTGAAAGTGTATATGGAGCCTCATTTGTGTTTTCTTTGAGAAAGTGTATGGTTGAAGTGAAATTCAGATATACATATTTTCTATACATGCATACATTACACACAGACACTGATATACACACACATATAGCAATGCACATAGCAATGTAAACATAGTTTTATCTATGTTTTGTGTATACACGTACACTCATGAAGATAACTAAATGCATGTGCCTGTATATTTTTCTATCCATCTCATCAATATGAACCACCCACACTCATCAACACACAAAACACAGGTAAAGGAAAATATAATTTACTATTACCACCTGTTGATTATCCTGCAGGTTTCTTATTCAGGCAATTTTTGACCAGTAAAGTTTAAAAGGAAAAAATATTCTGCCACCTACTTTGGACTGTATAAGAAAAGGAGCATGTGCAACTTTGTTTCCACTTTGTGTTGTATATTCCTTCTTCTTAAACTGACTTTTTATTTCATATTGTCCAGGTCCCGGAACACCCTGAAGCAAATAAAGAGATACAAATAACATTTTTAGAGTACCCACAATTATATTTAAAAGGGATCAATTAGTTAAATAACTGAATCTAGCTCGTATGGGTTAAATGTGAACCCTCACTGTGAACCTCTAAATACTTCATTTAAAGAAAACCTAATGCAAATGTTAAACAAGAAATTTAAAAAGGATAGAAATAAACTCTCCAAGATCCTAAAACATAATACCCTGCAACTTGCTGCCCTCTTCTGACATAGCTTATTATTTCATTCACAAGCTGGATATAATATATTAAAGTTTTAAAAATGTAAAATGTAAAGTGCTTAATATGTTATGATTTTTTTCTTGTTCTATTTAGAGGGATTCTTTTGACATATTTACAATTCTAAGTTTTCTGAATAAAGATTTTCCATCTCAGTTTCACTATGAAATTTCAGTTAAAAATTTTTAAAATGTTTTTCATCTTTATTGTGCCTCTCAGATGGCTCCCTGCACCCAGATTTTCAAGTATATGCTTCATAAGGCAACCAAAAGTGTAGTATAAGATCCTAGATAGAACAAACAGGATTCATTCTACAATCTGTGTTCATTCAAAATTCACACTGAAGACTGCATCTCCTTTCTTGAACAAGTATTTACTTGGTTGCTTGTGTTTACTTTAATTTCAGTAAAGGACAAAAAAAAAAAAAGAGATCAGATCATTAAGGACCATAATAATTGCCCTAAAAGAACACTACCCATTTTGCCATATTATATGAGCATAGATCTTATTCCCTTTCTCTCTCTAACTGACTATACCTTTATGGTGGTACATATTTTTTTTTCAATTCTGATATCCAAATTACTTCCATTACAAACGTTAAATCTTGACATTAATTACAGAAAACTGTATATAGCTTATTATGAAGAAATTAGTCCAATATTATTTCAAGCTTCTTCCATTTAGTAAATGAGTCTACAATTTGTTGTTTGTGTTGCACACTAAAAGGTCACTGACATGCATGTGGGCTTTGGACAGTTTAAAGTAATCTTTACTATTTCCCAAGTCTGCTGAAAATGAGAGTGCTCAAACATGTGTGAGAATGGGTTTCTTTCGCTATGCTTACTATTAGTGCTATAAAACAGATTTAAATACACTTTGAAATAAAAGCTTGTTACATAAAGTATTTTCAGAACGGATCTTATCTCAGCCCAGCATTTTGCTAAATTAGTATAGTACCATCTGCTTAATAAAAGGAAATATTGCTCTCTTAGCACAAGGCTGCATGTAACTAATGGGTTTGCCGCAGATGTAGGTAGTCCTTTTAGTGACCAATTACAAATGGTTGATTGGCTACTGCTTAATGTGTGCCTTCCATCTTACAATATCAAAAAGATTTTGCATCTGCAGTATTCATTTGCATAATTACAACATAAATTTCAGTTAACTCCAGAGACACAATACATTCTGAGTTTCTAATAAAAGGAAATAAGGTTAAGCTATATGGGGAAAAATAAAGAATGAATTAAATGTAAGCAGCTTTAAATCAAACATATAGAACAATGTGACACAGATTAAGAGGATGGCGAAAATACCTGGGAAATTGATCAATAATAAAATATAAGAGGCATTGTGGTTGAAGTGCCATATTCAGATTATAAATAATTCAAAACATGAAATTAAACAACAAGTGACAGTAAGCCCTTTCCTCGGAAAATGCTGCAACAGTTGCCATAGCCTGTGTTGGGAGATCACATGTTGGAATAAAAAGTATCAAATTTCATTTTAACCTGAAAAATTAAGGAATTATGAAAATCAGCACACACGTGAATCTAGGTATGCTTTTGCTTCATCCTTAGTTTGCTCTTATCTTATTAGATCACTGAATTTAAATAACTGTTGTGCTAAAAGTGTGAAGTGTATGTACTCTTCCTGCTAGTCTATCTTAGTTTGCACTTAGCCAGATTACAAAAGTTGCAAGTTACAATTGTGAATTGTTGGTGTATTTTAGCATGCATTTTTGACTAAATATTTCATTGTTTTCCATTAATACAAGAGTATCCCTATGTCCCAGGGACGCTGGGGTTAGAAGGGTACCCCGGGGCCGGACCAGGGGGGAGTAACCACCTACTTACCCCACACAGAGGCTGGAGCGAGTAGGGTCACACGCGCGGGGAGACCGCCAGCGCGGTTTGTGAGCCGCGCTTATATCCAGCTGGGGCCGGGCGACGCCGGCGGGAGACGCCACCTGGCTGAGATAAAAGGCGTCCCCAGAAGCAGGGCCGGAAGGGAGGCGGGGGAAGCCCGCAGGGAACCCCGAGAGCGGGACCCGTGCCAGCGAGGCACACACATCCAGCCCGGAGGGGCCAGCCGAGGAGGCGGCACTAACTGCAGCAGCCGCCCGGG